GGAGAAGTGAAGGAGCCGCTCGGCTGCAGCGCTGTCCATCTGTGAGCAGCACTTGGCAGCCGGTGGCGGCCGAGAGTTGGGGAGGGATGGGGAGATGTGGGGAGGTGGCGGGGAGGTCCATGGGGCAGGTGGCGGGGAGGTGGCGGGGAGGTGGCGGGGAGGTGGCGGGGAGGTGGCGGGGAGGTGGCGGGGCGCGCCGCAGCTGGCGGACCTGGCACCAGCTCCCAGCCGTAGCGCGCTGAACACGGCACGCCACATGGCACGTCCGGCGAGGCCTCTGCGCTGGTAGAGTCCGCTCTTAGACTCCGCCCACCCGCTCACCCGCCCACCCCGCTTTGGGAGAGGAGCCGGGAGGGTACGGCTGGTTGGGAGAGCAGCTCACGTTGCGAGAGTAGCTTACCTGGGGGGCAGTAGCTCACCTAGGAATATTCGCTTTCCTGGGGGAGTAGTTTACCTGGGAGAGTAGCCGGGAGCTACGCTCCCCAATCTGGCTGCTCACCCCGCTCACCAGGCGGCCACATCTCCCCATCTCTCCCCACATCTCCCCACATCTCCCCAGATCTCTTTGTGACGCTCGCCAGGCGGCCATATCTCCCCATGTCTCCCGATATCTCCCCATATCTCCGCAGGCGGCGGGCGACCTGCACCGCGCCGCCGCGACGCTGGAGGAAGCCGAGTACGCGCGGGCAGCCGTCGGCGAGAGACAGCCGAGAGACAGCCGAGAGACAGAGAGACAGCCGAGAGACAGCCGAGAGACAGAGAGACAGCCGAGAGACAGCCGAGAGACAGAGAGACAGCCGAGAGACAGCCGAGAGACAGCCGAGAGACAGAGAGACAGCCGAGAGGCAGCCGAGAGGCAGCCGAGAGACAGCCGAGAGACAGAGAGGCAGCCGAGAGACAGCCGAGAGAGACAGAAGACAGAGATCGACTAGTCGGACAACTGGCAACGCCGAGTCCCGCGACACCCGCGTCTGAGCGCGATGCCTCCTCTGAATAAATAAATAGAGCAGACATCTCCAGGAGAGATGGGCGACGCACGAACACAGAGGGACAGTGCGCACCCCGCCCCGCTCGCAGGGCGTGCAGCACACAGCAACACAAGACATATCTACGCTGTGCGCCTCCTCGGGATTTCTGGGGAGGTAGAAGTGTGTATGCCTCCTCTGAACCGCCTGGATGAGGGGATGTGTCTTTCTCAAAGGCGTCGCGCTGCTTACCCTTGTCGACACGATCCACTCCGTGTCGGAGAGCGTGCGCAGGGCGGGCGGCGTGACCGGCGGGCTCCCCGTCTCTCCCCATCTCTCCCCATCATCTCTCCCCATCATCTCTCCCCATCATCTCTCCCCATCATCTCTCCCCATCGTCTCTCCCCATCTCTCCCCATCTCTCCCCATCATCTCTCCCCATCGTCTCTCCCCATCATCTCTCCCCATATCTCGGCGGCGTGACAGGCGGGCTCACCAAGCCGCTACGCTGCGGTGTGAGCGGCGCCTCTTCACGCGCTGCTGCCGTGAGCAGGCAAGCTGACCACGGCTCTCGAGATCTGGGGAGATCTGGGGAGATCTGGGGAGATCTGGGGAGAGAGCTACTGCCGTGATGCGAGCTGACACGGTCTCACCCGAGATCACCCGAGATTCCCCGAGATTCCCCGAGATCGACCTGCTGCCGTGAGCAGGCCAGGACAGCCTTTCTTTTTCTTGAGCAGGCGAGTTGACCACGGCTCTCACCGGTCCCGGCACCGGCGCCAAGCTGCACGCGTCCCTCGACGAGCTGCGCCGGAATCAGGCGCGAGATCGACCCAGATCGCGCGAGATCGACCCAGATCGGCCCACGATCGCACGAGATCGCACGAGATCGCACGAGATCGCACGAGATCGCACGAGATCGCCCACGATCGCACGAGATCGCACGAGATTGCAGGCCGCGTGCGGGGACGCGCACGAGCGCGTGATCAAGCGCGAGCTCGGCGGCGTCGGCGCGGCTGCACAGCGCGACAGCGGCCCCTCTCTGCTCGAGGAGAGCGAGCGGGTCGCCAGGTGCAGAGGGGAGACGCCGGGAGCCCTCCCCTACCCCACGGTACCCGGCACCACCCTCCCCTACCCCACGGTACCCGAACCCACCCTCCCCTACCCCACGGTACCCGGCACCACCCTCCCCTACCCCCACGGTACCCGAACCCACCCTCCCCTACCCCACGGTACCCGAACCCACCCTCCCCTACCCCCACGGTACCCGAACCCCTGTGAGACGCGAGAGCCGCGCTTGTGCGCGCTTGCGCGTGGAGACCGTGTCGCCGCCCTCCCTCCTCCAAGGAGCGGTGGCGGTCCTCCCTCCTCCAAGGAGCGGTGGCGGTCCTCCCTCCTCCAAGGAGCGGTGGCGGTCGAGCCTGCGTCTCCGCGGTCGTTGAGCCCACTCTCCGCGGAGGGGAGCTTCCGCAGTGCGCAGACCTTGCAGTCGCGCACCGCATATCTCCCCCATATCTCCCCCATATCTCGTCCCTAGAAGCGGAAGACGCATTCTCGTACTCCAACCAGCGCTCGAGAGGACACACCTCCCCATATCTCCCCCATATCTCCCCCATATCTCCCCCATATCTAGCACTCGAGAGGACACACCTCCCCATATCTCCCCATATCTCCCCACGCTAGGTACGTCATCGACAAGCACGCGGAGAGCGAGGGTGCTCTCGGCGACAAGGGCAAGGTGCAGCCGATCGTGCGGCAGAGGAGCGCCGAGCGGAGCACAAGCGCAGCCCAGGCCACGGCTCTGCAGACCGCCAAGGCGCCAAATTGAAGCTCCGGAGCTCAGCGCATGCCTAGGAGCGAGGGCCTACGTTGTGGACTGGTACGTTGTGGGGTTGTGGGCAGACAAGCACTAGCACAAGCACGTTGTGGGCTGGATCGTGATTCGTGACGCGCGGATTAGGATTACAGGGACCGTCAGGGTACTGACTGTACGGTACAGTAGCTGGAAGCTGCGATCGGCAGTCGGCCCACAGGCGCATTGGCCGCCACCGCACACAGGATTTTAAGGATACAGTAGGAGTGTTGGTGCTAGCTGCTAACCGTCTCATCCATCCGCCCCACGCGGTCGGCCGTCGCCTCACAGCGATCAGCGTGCGCGAACTTCTTTTAGAGCCGATTTGTTGAGTATTTAGTTTTGGCTAGTTGCTTCCAATTCACTCTGACACGTGAGACGCTAATCTTGAAAACGTCCAACGGAGCTCCGCCGTGTTGCTACCAGCGCCCTCCCCCGCGCTCCCTGCGTCCATGGCCGATGATGCTAGTATGTGAGGTCATCTGGCTACCGCGAGAGCGACCCAACTCGTCGACATCGTCCGATGATGGTGCCTCAAAGTCAGCCTTCGGAGGCTATCGTGGGGTCGAGCCGGCGGTGGCCGTGACATGCGTTGCTGGGAAGGTGGACGAGCCGCTCGAGGAGCGGGACGAGTCGGCTCGTGCCACCGGTGGAGAATTCAGTATGCCGCAGGCGGCTCCCACCTCGTAGCCGGCGTGCACCGCGTTGCTGACCGGCTTGGTGGACACGCGCGTCGACATGAAGTGGTGGTCCGTCATTGTTGGTGAATGGTCGGGTCTCCGCTTGGGACGTGCGAGTTTGAGCTTCCTTGCCCTCGGCCGCCCTTTGATCACGAGCATCGGCCAGGATCTCGGCTCCGCGGCTACGGTCCCTCTATGGCGTCACGGTCGTGACACATATATCATGGGTTGGGCTTTTAGGCATTGTAGGGTTGGCATCCCATCGACCATGGCCTCCCTCCTGCGCGCGGTAGTCTCTCTCTGGTGTTGCCACCATCTCCACCAACCAGACAGGCAGTCAGTGGATGTGGGACCACAGTCAGGGTACACTCGAAGGCTGGGTTAGCAGTAGACGTCGATACTTGACGCTTCCCACATGGTTTGTGTCGCTGCCGGCACGCTGGTCGACAAGGGCCACATGAGCATGACCGCGATACCTCGGTGTGGCAGTGCCCAACCCCCAGGCTGCACAGGCGCAGTCCGCACAGAGTTAGCCGCGCTCCGAGCTGTCGAGCTGACCCGACCGAGGCCGCGACCCGGCAATGCTTTCCCAGGGAGGGATGGGAGAACGGCACGCCGCCACCACACAGGGATTTTAAGGAGAGGAGGGTGTGATGCGCTAGCCGTCGCCCACCCTGGGGAGTCTGCCTCTTCGTATCTCTTTTCGCAGTCTCTCGCCGCTTCTCGCTGCAACCTTCATGCCACCTCGCGGCCGTCCCACTCTCGTCGTTCTCTCCCTTGTCACTTCCTCCTCTGTCGCGTCGTTCTCTTCTGCCTCGTCCTGCGACGCCGCCGCCTGCCGGTCCCTTGTTCTCGCGGCTTCTTTCGCCTCTCGGTGCAACTCCGTCCTCCTTGCTCTTTTCATGAGCTTTAAAATTCTTTTCATGCCGCGTGAGCAGGACACAGTCGTGCTTCGTGAGCGCGTGGGCTCTCTCCTGTCATTTGCAGCAGCTCCTTGGCGGTTCCTCGGCTCATCTGGCGCCAGTCTCGAAGGGCCCACCGGGCAGATTACGCTATTGCGCTTTTTGCAGGCTGCTTTTTCAACGCACTTTTCAACGCACTGCCTCCGCAGCGCCGGGAACAGCACCGTGCTTTTTCGACCCACTGCGCCGTCAGAACCCACTGCGGCTTTGACCTTTTCAACCTACCATTAGGCGCGTCAAGCTTTGCCAGCCGTCGCAATGCGTCGGCTGACAAAGCTCAATGCCCAGCTGCGATGAGAAGCTGCGCTCTCTCAGCACCCATCCCACCATGTCTACTGCTGACACCTCCGCAGCTATTTCCTCCGCCCACCGACAGTTGGTGCTGCCTCGTGCATCAATGCCTCCGTAAATCCATGACGAGGAGTGCTGCGTTCGCAGGTGCCTCCAGAGGTGCACCGGACGGTACACTGCTCGTACATTCATCTCCCCTACATATGCACAAAGTCTCCTTTCCCCTCTCCTCTTCTCTCATCTCAAGACTCACGCGGAAGCCGCCTCGAGTACGCGGCCAGCCTCGAGTACGCGGCCATCTCGTGCCTTCTCCCGGCAAGGGAGCTGCCCCGCAGTCTTTCTCCGCGATCTCTCCGCCGCAGGCTCTCCGCCGCAGGCTCTCCCCCGCTGCTCTCCTTGCCCCATTCACGTCGTGGCAGCGGCCGCTTCGGCCGCCCTGGCCTTCGCGCGCAGTTTCTGCAGCCGCGATTTGATCGCTTTGTGCGGTGGCGCGGAGTCGGGCTCGTACTCGTTCATCCATGCCTCAAAGGCGGTTGCCGAAGGGCTCAGGGTGCGCTCTTGCACAACGTGCGCAAACACACGCTCGTTCTGCTCCGACCATCTGAAGTAGGGAGGCCTCTTCTTCGGCTGCTGCGGCGGCTGCACGGCGGCGGCGGCGGGCACAGCCACGCTGGTGGCGTTCGTGACGGTCGCGGCGGCATTGGCGACGGGCGCGGAAAGCGCCGCCACCGCCGTCGCCGCCTCTGCCGCCTCCCGCGGGCGCTTCTGGCCGCCGGCGGCGGCGGCGGGGTCGGCGGCGGCGGCGGCGGCGGCGGCGGCAGCGGCGGGGTCGGCGGCGGCGGCGGCGGCGGCGGCGGCGGCGGCGGCGGCGGCGGCGATGGTGGCGGAGGTGGAGGCGGCGGCGGCGGCGGCGGCGGCGGCGGCAGCGGCGGTGCGTCGAGCGGTCCTTGAGTCGGCATTAGGCGCAATGCAACACAGGCCGCGGCCAAGCTCGTCGAGCTCGGTTATCCACAGCCCGTGCTGCGAGCATGCGTAGACACACATGTCCTTTCGAATTTTGTAGCCGTGCAGACAGCCGGGGTAGGAGCATAAGTATCGCCATGCTGGCGCTAGGCCTGATCGAGTGCATGTTGCATG